GAAGGCTTCTTGAGGACGGGCCTTACAACTGCTTCCTTTAATGGTTGTGGGAAGGACCCCTCCCTCAAGGACGCGTTAACTAAAGCCTGGAGTCAGCCTCGTGTCACCTCCCTGCTGGCCGAAACCAGCCAGGAGGGGCACGGGTCCAACAAACAAGTGGAGGAACTCATCGCTCCTACAGCCTTGTCCACTTCCTCAGGAGTCACAGTCTCAAATTCATCCCACACAATAGGACTAAGACCTGCCCTGGTCATCTCGGTCGGAACTGCCCAATCAGAGTCCAGGTCCATCCGAATCTGAGCGACTTTATCTGACAGAAACTGCACAAACTCCTCAGCTCTACCCTGCAAGGGCTCCTCCACTCCCCCTGCATTAAGGAGGGAGCGAGTCACCCTAAATAGGGCGGCTGGGCGCGAATCCGCGGATGCAATAAGTGCGGGAAAATGCAAACATTTTGCCGCCCGTATCGCCACTAAATAAGTACTAATAAAGGCTCTTAAGAGTGTTCGGTCAGATTCGGAGTTACTGGTCCTCCAGCGTCGCTCTAGACGTCTCTTCTGGCGCTTCATCTCCCGGAGCTCCTCAGTAAACCAGGGAGCTTTCCTGGATCCACCGCCATGGAGAGGTCGCAAAGGCGCAATCCGGTCCAGTGCCCCAGATGCTGCCCTATTCCAGGCAGCCACCAGGGACTCAGTCGGACTGTGGACAAGGGAGTCAGGTATCTCCCCAAGCTCCTTCTGGAACCCTTCAGGGTCCATTAGGCGTCTGGGGCGGAACCACTTAATCGGCTCCGCCTCCCTGCGATGGGGGAATAGCACCCTGAAGTCTAACCTCAGCAGGAAATGATCTGACCACGACAAGGGAGAAGCATCTATGCCCCTTAATTCCAGATCATATCTCCACTGCCCCGAGAGGAACACCAGGTCAAGTGTGTGTCCCCCCCTGTGAGTCCTAACCCTACCTAACAAAATTTGAACCCTAACCCTACCTAACAAAATGAAATTCAATGTACAGAAGAGTAAAGTAAAACCAAAAGCACAGATATAGAGTGGGGGAAACCGGGCTTAATAGCAGTGACTGTGTGAGGGATCTGGGAGTCTTAGTGGACAACCAGTTAAATAGGAGCCAGCCGTGTGCAGCAGCAGCCAGAAAAGCCAAGGCAATCCTAAATTGCATTAACAGAGGGATACAATCAAGATCAAGGGAGGTACTAATACCGCTCCATAAAGCCTTAGTAAGACCACACCTAGAGTCCTGCATCCAGTTTTGGTCACCACACTATAAAAAAGATGTGGAGACTCTAGAAAGAGTGCAGAGAAGAGCAACCAGGATGATTGGGGGACTGGAGGCTAAAACATACAATGAACGGTTGCAGGAACTGGGCCTGGCTAGTCTAGGGAAGAGAAGGACCAGGGGAGACAGGATAGCATCTTCCAATATTTGAGGGGCTGCCATAGAGAGGAGGAAGGGGATCAAGCTATTTTCAAGGCACCTGAAGGCCAGACAAGGAACAATGGATGGAAACTGATCAAGGAGCGATTCAGCCTGGAAATAAGGAGGAGCTTTCTGACAGTGAGAACAGTCAACCAATCAAACAGAAGTTGCCTTTGGAAATTGTGGGCACATCATCACTGGAAGCTTTCAAGAAGAGACTGGGCTGCCATCTGTCAGAAATGGTGTAGGGTCTCCTGCTTGGGTGGGGAGTTGGACTAGATGACCTACAAGGTCCCTTCCAACTCTTAATCTGAAATATCTGAGCTGGAATGCCAGTTTGTGGAAATATCTGTGGCTTAATATTCTGAAGCACCAAAACTGAATTTCTGTAGAGATTCTCAGTCCAGGAACACCACTCGGGTGACCCTGAGGACACAGGTAAACCTCCAGGTGGCCTCAAGGACCTTCTAAAAGGATGCAAATGACCAGCTGTCTGCAAGGACTATAAATCCTCCCATTCCCCACCATCCTGTCAGAGCTGAGGAAGCTTCTTGGAGGAGAAGCGAAACGTCTTCAAAAGAAAAAACAAAGAAACTCCTGAAAAAGCCCCTTGGGGACAACCAAAACTGAATGTTCACAGACCAACATCAGGCGCCAAGCTCAAAGCCCCAGATCTGACTTTAGAGGGAAACAGGTTTAAATGGCAGAAAAGGCAGGCCAAAAACTCCAAATAAAAACAACGCAGCGAAGCTGTGGCTTCCCTTTGGGCCATTCGAGCCGTCTCCACTTCAGCTGAGCAGGGAATTTTGGGTTTTTTGGCAGAGCGTGTAAGCAAAGCCACTTCACGGAAACATGAAGGAGCCAAGCGGGGGTCACGGGAAGGAAGGGGATGAAAGCTCTCGTAAATGAGGGGGCGGAAGGATGAATGAGGGGATTGTTGTCCCACCAAAGAAAGGGCTTTTCACAAAGATCGGAATCTTTTTTCTTTTCGTCTTTTTTTTTTTTTTTCCACTCCCCAAATGCTTCTTTTTCCTGGCAGGAGATCCCGGCTCCAAGAGAGAAAAGCGGTTTTATTGTGGTGAAGCCTCGGCTTTTTTGCTCCTTGCCTGGAAAGGCCAAAGGGAACCTGTGGTCAGGATGAGCTAAGCCCGGGTTTTCCCTGCCCGGGAACTCCCGGCCAGTTGGGCAATGCCAGGGAAAGGACGCTGGGCGTGGGCGCAACTGGCCTCTTTCAGGCCCTCCAGAGGAAAGGGGGAAATCTCAAAATGCTGGTGACAGCATGGATGTAGCCATCTCATTTTCTGCCAAGCCGGAGCTGAAGAAGCTTCTCAGATGAGAAGCGAAACATCTTCAAAGGAAAACCGGAAAGTCCAGTTGCCTCTTGAAAAAAAAAAAGCACCTTTGGGATTTTCTGACAAGAATACAAGGGCGGTATACAAATTCAATAAAATGAAATGAAAAATGAAAAAAACCACAGGGGGGGGGCTGCCCCTTGTGCCCCCCCCCCCAATCTTTTTCTATTTTACTCCCCGGCCTAGCTACGATCCTAAGATTACCTCATGATTCTCTGTCCCAGGACCGTCCAGATCGATCTCTGCTTTGATTTTGGATCCCAGCTGAGGTTGGGAGTGAATAAAAGCTGTACTGTGGTTATCTCAGAGTCGTTGGATGCGAGATAGGCGACAAATTTTATTAATAAATAAATCTCTGGTTTGGCTTCTTTGAAGGAGATGTGGATGATGCTCCCAGGAGTTGTAATTTTGGCAGTTTTTGCCAGATATTCCTGGTGATTATTTGATTATTGATTATTTGCTCCTGAGTATGGAGAAAGGCAGAAAAACATCATCCTTCTTGGATGACTGAACCCAAGCAACTTAGAAGATGGAGGAAGGAAGGAAGGAAGGAGGGACGGAGGGACGGAGGGAGAGAGAGAGAAGGGCAATGCAGCAAATCTTATTCTAGACAAATCCGTACTGGTCTCTAATAAGAAAAACCCTTTGTGTTTGACCCTCTGCTTATCTTTTAAAAAGAACCTTTATTGAAATTCACAATACAAATAGAAACAAAAATAACAGGGGAATGGGTGAGAGAAAAGAAGGGAAGAGATATTAGCAAGTAAAAGAGAAAAAAATAAAGCAGTGACTTCCAGCTGCTTTAGATGCAGTAAAATACAAAATAGTTACAACCTCAACTTTGTACTTTACGTGTTTAGCAAATCCTAGACGTTTCTAGAGTCACCAATTAAGGTCATCATCAAAACCCCAAATCAAAGTTTCTGGGGTTTTGTTTTGTTTTTTCTATTTTGAGAATTTTTTTAAAAAACTGCTTATTTTGCAATACCATCTAAATTTTTACTGAGTTTTAAACCTCTGGGGTTGCATTTTGATCTGTTGTTTGCAATATGGCTTTGCACCACATGGGGGCGTGTGTGGGAATAGAATAGAATAGAATAGATTAGAATAGAATAGAATAGAATAGAATAGAATAGAATAGAATAGAATAGAATAGAATAAATATATCTCTATTTATTTAGATTGAAAGATAATTGTATGAAAATCACATTTAGGGACTTACCTTATTCTGTGTTGTGGGCATAATTATTTACTAATGAGGGCAGGAACAATAGATGTGTTTTTTATGTTTAGTGTTATGAATGGGGGAGGGGAATGTATGGTTTTTATTTGTATGTATAAACAATGTTTTTGTCTTGTGTTGATTATAATTTGAAAAAAATTAATAAAATTTATTTTTTTTAAAAAAGAATAGAATAGTTGGAAGGGACCCTGGAGGTCTTCTAGTCCAGCCCCCTCTCAAGCAGGAGATTCTGACTTATACCACTTCAGATAAGTAATTGTCTAATAGTCTTTTCTTAAAACCTCCAGTGTTGGAGCACCCACAGCTTCTGGTGGCCAGCTGTTCCACTGGTTAATTGTTCTCACTGTTAGGAAGTTTCTACTTAATTCCAGGTTGCTTCTCTCCTTGATGAGTTATTTATTTTAGTTCTTCCAGCCGGCTCCAATTCCTTTCCACTCCACCGGCTGAGGGTTGTTCCCCGCAGACTGTGGTCGGGGGTCTCAGACCCACCAATCACCCTCTAACCCCCTTTGGCATTGAATCCTCCTCGGGGGTCTCCCTCCTGCCTCCTTCTTCCAAAGGAAAAGTTTCAGAGATGCCCACCCGCGGAGGAGACACTGCCAGGATTTTGGGGGGTGGGCGCGGGGTCCTTTTCCTTCTACGGTTTTCTTCCCCCTTCGAAAGCATTTTGGAGGAGACTGAAGCCTTCCGAAATTCTAATCATTCTTACTGCGTTTCTGGCTTTCCAAAATCATGAGGGTTTTTTTAACGGGGGGGGGATTGCTCTGGGATCACAAAAACGAGATTGCGAACCAGATGCGAGTTGTCACCTCTGGCTGACCCAAAAGATTCTGCATTTCCAAATCAAGATGGGCCGCACAGTTGAGTTTTGCTGGGGAGGGTGAGGGGGGGTGGAAATGCTCCAGGTTTTTTCCCAGCAGGACAAAGGATTTACCGGCCAGCCCGGGGACGGCGGGCGGGCTGCAAAATTCGGATCTGCTCCTTCACAGAATAACAGAGCTGGAAGGGACCTTGGAGGTCTTCTAGTCCAACCCCCTGCTTAGGCAGGAAACCCTATAGGATTTCAGACAAGTGGCTGTCCAGGCTCTTCTTGAAAACTTCCAGTGTCGCAGCACCCACCGCTTCTGGTGGCAGGCTGTTCCGTTGGCTAATTGTTTCTCCTTATTTCCAGATTGCTTCTCTCCTTGGTTAGTTTCCATCCGTCCTTTCTTGTCCTGCCTTCAGGGGCTTTGGAGAAGAGGTGGAGCCCCCCCCCCTCCGTCTTCTTTGGGGAGTCCCTCAAATCCTGGAGCCCCGCTCTCTTCTTTTCCACCGCTTCTCATGGTAGCAGCGGAGACCCCGGTGCGGACGGCCAGGGCTCTCCCCAAGCCCGCCAATCCAAGAGCTGCGGGGGGCGGTAGCCGGGGGGCTTTGAGCCCCGAAAGAGCCGGGCCAAGCAAGCACCACTGGCCCTTTCGAGGCTCCTTCCCAGCCGCCGCGGAGCTGCCTGGACGGATCCGGGGCTCGGACCGCGACTTTTTTCCCGCGGCGGCTCAAAGAGAAGCGGCAAAGAAACGCGACTCCGCCCCGCCGCCAGATGTTTCCCCGCCAGCAGCCCAGCTGTTTCGGCGTCCAGCAACACGCGGCAGCTGGACGTCCGGACGGCGCTTGGCGGAGTCGAGCCACCCCACGGGCGGAGGCCAGGAGATCGCGGGGGGAGCACCTAGAGGCAATCCAGCCCACCCCCGCCTGGGAGGGAGCCCCGCATTCGCCCCGAGGATCAGCCACAGGTCTGCCCCGATCCGGAGTAGGGGGCTGCGGGGAGGGAGGTCTTGTAGCCCGCTTAAGTCTCTGGGCTCCCCTTGGGTGTAAAGGCGCCGCGATGCGAGCCTCGGTTTCCAAAGCGGAGCAGCTACAGAGAAACGTACTCTTGAGTAATGTTAGCCATGAGCAGTGAGTAAGTTGTGAGTATTGTTGTAAGCCGCCTATAACAGCCTGGCTGCGAGAGAGGCGGCACATAAATTGAACAAATAATAATAAGGAGGCTGTTGAGCCGATGAGTTACTTCGTAGTAAGTTTTCGTGGAGACTTTCTCTCCGGGGGAGGCGGGGAGCGAGTTCTGCGCTGTCACTGGGGGATCTTGGGGATTTTCCCCCTTTCTCAGCCTCACCTACCTCACAGGGTTGTTGTTGGAGAGAAACCAAATGAGGGGGAGGTGAAGGCGAGGAGGAGGGTTGCAAGAGAGGCAGACGAAGTGAGGATCCGTCCAGGGGAATCCGGAGCGGAAAAGACGAGAGGGATTTGGGGTACCCCACGATCCCTCCAGGCCACGATCCCCCCACCAGGCAGCCAAAGGTGCACTTGGGTAACCCCTGGTGTCGCTCCAGCTGATTGTCTAATTTAATGAAAAGAAGGACCAAGGGCGACAGGATAGAATTAGAATTCTTTATTGGCCCAGTGAGATTGGACACACAAGGAATTTGTCTCCGGTGCAAAAGCTCTCAGTGTACATCAGAGCAACAAGTGATAAATTATGATCCTAGTCATGGTAAAAATACATTCATCATAAATCGTAAGATACAACACAGGATACTGAATAAGCAACCAACAGAAATCATAGTGGGGTGCTAAATAAAACAATATAAATCATAAAATACAAGCAAAATTAATTAATTGATTCGGTTTTAATCTGGGTTGTTTTAAATTATTGGACCAAAATTATTTAATTGTTTTTAAATTATTTTTAAATTTTGTATACTATGTTTTATTTTGGCTGTGCACCGCCCTGAGTCCTGAGGGAGAAGGGCGGTATAAAAATAAAAATAAATAAATAATAAATAAATAAATAAAAAAGGAGAGATGTCATAGGAAAGGTGAGAAGAGTAATGCAGCCTTACTAGACAGTTTGATAGCAGCATTTGAGGGGCTGCTCCAAAGAAGAGTTGGGGGTCAACTTATTCTCCAAAGCACCAGAAGGCAGGACAAGGAACAATGGATGGAAACTAACCAAGGAGAGAAGCAACCTGGAATTGAGGAGAAACTTCCTAACAGGGAGGACAATTCACCAGTGGAACTGCTTGTCACCAGAAGCTGTGGTTGCTTCCATCACTGGAGGTTTTGAAGAAGAGACTGGACAGCCATTTGTCTGAAATGCTGTAGGCCAGGTCTCCTGCTTGAGCAGAAGGCTGGACTAGAAGACCTCTAAGGTCCCTTCCAACTCCGTAATTCTGAATGGCATCCCACCGTTCACACCGAGTTCCAGGTATTTTCCACTCAGATATTGGGGTTCAGCTTCTTGTTGGTTCAGGAATCCGAAATCGGTGTGGCATTGCTGGAGGGGTGGGGGGAGGGTCCAGGGCAGTCCCTAACCATCTGGCCTCCCCTCCCCCAGCTGGGCCTCTTTACAAAAGCGGCACCTTTCTGGGTGGCCTTTTCATGGCAGGTGCCCTGTTGTGCTTCTGAGATGCCACCAGGGGGCAGAGGCAGCCGAGATCTCCCTTGCTGGAACTGCATTCAGAGATAGGCTGCACCAGAAGCTGGAGGCTTCATTCTGCCTCCCAGCTCTGTCCTTCCCAGGGTCTGAGCCGTGGGGGGTCCCTGCAGGGGGGTCCAGACAGGGAGGAGGAGGGGGTGGGCAAAGATAATTAAGGATAGAAGTTAGTTGTAATAAAGACCCACCAGGCACAGCTTGGAGGAGTCCTGGGTGTTCTCTGAACTGAGTTGTTTTCTTGCAGGCATTTCATTACCGAACTAGGTAACATCATCCGTGCTAAAAGGGAGTGAGCTTGCAGAGAGGAAGAGGAGGAAGAAAACCACTGAGAGGTCCTCGGTGCTCTCTGAGCTGGGTTGTTTCCTCACCAACACTGACAGGAGAAGCCACTAAAACATAAGCTGAAAGCAAGCCCCATTCCTTAGTAGCACTGATGATGTTACCTAGTTCGGTAATGAAATGTCTGCAAGAAAACAACCAAACTCAGAGAGGTCATCTAGTCCAACCCCCCCCATTCCAGACAAAGGGTTGTCCAGTCTCTTCTTAAAAGCCTCCAGGGATGGAGCACCCACAACTTCTGGTGGCAAGCAGTTCCACTGATTTAAGTGCTGAGATTTGGGGTCTCTTCTTGTCCCTCCCTCCCCCATCCCCTCCCCCACCCACTCCCATCCCTGGGAGAAAAGCGAAGTCGACCCGTTCTGGAAACGGGGACCCAAAGGGATCCTTTTTTGCAACCGTCTCTTCGGCCCGAAAGGAACGTTTGGCCTTGAGCAGCAGAGCCAAAGCTCGGATTGCGTGGGAATCTCGGGGCGTTTTGTGTCTGTTGTTTTTGTTATTGTTGCTTTAAAGCCAGGTTCTATTTTTCCTTTCTTCTTTCCTGGGGGCACCAGATGGTTCATTTGCCTTGGCAGCCTTTGGCTCTCCCTGCTAGGAAAGGAAGCGGAGGCTTCCCCTCTTTCGGCTGGACCAGGCCCAGAAAGGCCAGATAAATCAGCCTCTCTCGCGCTAGGAAAGCCAGCAGAAGAGGCTGCCCCCCCTCCACACACACACACACACACACACACACACACACACAGCAACATCTGTCTTTCCCTGGCTCTCGGCTTGACGGAGTCCAGCTTTCCCACGCTCTTTGCGACACCCCCAGATTAACCCGCAAAGGTGTGGGCCACAAGATTGTCCGGAGGTGGGAAGCAACCCTTGGAGTTTGGGAGCCAAAGATTGGGAACCCCGCCTTGGCTGCAGGAGTGTCGAGTGTCTGCATGACACACACACACAGAGAGAGCTTTGTATCTTCTGGCAAGTGAAAAGTTTCAGACTGGCAGGACAAGGAGCTGAAAATTCCCCTGAGGTCATCCATCCCAACCCAAAGGCTTCCAGGCAGAAAAGTTGCACATTCTGGTTGAAGGTGTCCAGTTCATCAAGGAAAAAGAACACACACACACACACACACACACACACACACCATTGTATTTTCTGGCAAGTGAAAAGTTTCAGAACAGGGAGCTGAAAAGCACCCTGAGGTCATCCATCCCAACCCCAAGGCTTCCAGGCAGGGTCTCACAAATTTGTATCTCTGGTTGAAGGTGTCCAGTTCGCCAAAGAAAAGGCGCACACACACACACACACACACACACACACAAAAGCAGCCAGATTATAGGCTGTCTCATCCCAGAACAGCTTGTGCCCTTGAGGTAGCTTGGCTGACGTGGGTGGGCTCCTCTGTGGCTTCCTGTCTTGCAGGAGCCCGTTTCTGTCGGTTGTGGGAATCAGGCCCACTTCGTGGTTTATTGGTTTGGCATTTTGTGCCCTGTTTGTTTCTAGATTTGCAAAAGCAGAAAAGGGAACAAGGAATTCTCTCCCAGAATCTTAGCTCAGAGCCAAAAAAGTTCCTGGGAGATTGGAGGCTTCCAAATCATTAACAGGACAGAACAGACTTGGAAGGGGCCTTGGAGGTCTTCTAGTCCAGCCTATACCATTTCAGACAGGTGGCTGTCCAGCCTCTTCTTAAAACCTCCAGTGATGGAGCACCTACAACTTCTGGTGGCAAGCAGTTCCACTGGTGAATTGTCCTCACTGTTAGGAAGTTTCTGCTCAATTCCAGGTTGCTTCTCTCCTTGATGAGTTTCCATCCATCATTCCCTGTCTTGCCTTCTGGTGCTTTGGAAAATAAGTGGACCCCCCCCACTCTTCTTTGGAGCAGCCCCTCAAAGCTCCTGGAATACTGCTGTCATGTGTGCCCATCCCCCGTCCATCCCCCCCCTCCTTCTTTTATCTAGACTGGCCAAACCCAAATCCTGCAGCTACTCTATTCTATTCTACTCTACTCTACTCTACTCTACTCTACTCTACTCTACTCTACTCTACTCTACTCTACTCTACTCTACTCTCTTCATTTTAGACTCCAGGCCTTTAATCATCTTACTTGCTCTTCTCTGCACTTTTTCCAAAGTCTCAATGTTGTAATATTTTTATTGTCTGGGTTTTTTTTAAAAAAAAGATATTTTCAAAAGACGAAAGTTCTGGATCTCTGTAATACTTTTGCAACTTGGGGGCTCCCTTTGTTTCCCTCACACCCTCCTTTCCCAAAAGCCTGCCCTTTGCATGGGGGTGGGGGTGGGGGTGGGGGTGGGGAAGAAAAGCCGATGTGGCCACGTCCTTCTCTGGGACCGAGAGCAACCTCTGTCCTTGTGGCGAAGGGAGCCAGCCTTCCCCCTTCGGCTCTGGAATGCAGGAATCCAGGAAACGGTCCCAGCCCTGAATATTTTGGCCGTGCCAATTTGGCGTCTCTGCCGATGCCAGGCGGCCAACTTCTGCGCCCGGGATCCGGATTTTGATCACGTGACCATGGGGATGCTGCAATGTGAAAAGTTTGAAAAGTGTGAAAGTCACTTTTTCCCATGAAAAGGAAATCTAACACACACACACACACCGTCCCCAATTTGGTCTGCTTTGCACTGCTGTTTTTTCTGGACACGACATTCACACATGGTCAGATCCAGAGGTGGGTTTCAGCAGGTTCTGAGCAGTTCTGGAGAACCGGTAGCAGAAATTTTGAATAGTTCGGAGAACCGGCAAATACCACCTCTGACTGGCCCCGCCCCCATCTATTCTCTGCCTCCCAAGTCCCAGCTGATCAGGAGGGAATGGGGATTTTGCAGTATCTTTCTCTGCCACGCCCACCAAGCCACGCCCACAGAACCAGTAGTAAAAAATTCTGAATCCCACCACTGGGCCAGACGTTTAATTTATGCCGTGTTTTGGTCCCAGCCGCGATTGGCTCTGCCCTGTTTGTGCCAC